TTATCGTGATATTTTGTACACATATTTTTAGAGGTATTTATTAAAAAGGACATAGGATTCTTTTTGCCCTTGCTAGCGGTGCTTGCGGCTGGGCAAATCGCTGAGCACGTCAGCACTGAAAATTGCATACTTAAATACCACTAATTCTCCATTCCATCAAGTTTAATAAAACCTTACAAAACTTTAAAAATATCAAATGTACAACCTGTTGTATTGTAGTTTGATGATAAATGCGAAACAATGTAATCAATTTATTCAATACATCTTCGAAATATTTTTTTGTTATTATTTCGAAAACATGCAGTTTTCGTCACAATATTTCCTTCACCGCTGAGCACGTGATAATTCAATGATCCGCGTTACTTAATGTAGTGTACTTAATGTACCTTTGCAGCGAGCAAACTTTTACAAATTAAACTTTTAAAACTAGAATAGAATATTTAAAAACTAGAGATATTACCTTGGCTATCGCGACAGCTTTACCCGCACATGTTTGAAATTAACATTGAATTTACAACGAAAAAAAATATTCACCCGGTTAAACATGGAGCAAATCAGAATCGTCCCAAACGTGGCGAATTTATTCTGTCGCCCGCGAAACACGAGGGGGAGGGAGTAGCTGTGAACGCAATAAGGATGGGAGCCACCCGTCATGTCTGCCAACGGTTCAGCTCGCAAGCGGGATCCTTGGCGGGCTAGTGAGGACTTAATTCAATTTGCGTCCAAAACAGAGCTTCGAACGGGAAGATTTCACATTGAACGGAGTGGGGCAAGCCATCGCTAGCTTCGTGACGCCTCGATTTCACGCTCTCGAGAGATCGCAGTGATGGCTCGAAGCCGTTGAGATACTACTTAAAGTTACACATCGGAATATAACGGGTCTAACTATAGTTTCACGTTAGGTTTTTCCAGTGTACGTAATATTCTTTGGTTGCGAATTAATGTAACTAAGCTCAGGAACAAGGAATTATTACTATCGCGGGTATGGACAACATCACTACGCGTAATATTATTTTAAAAATGCTGATATATTGTGTTTTAGATGTAAAATATAATTTAATATCCACCACCCAAACATCGTAAACACTTGTAAGATGAAGTTACGGTAATAACATACAAACGGAGCATTATATTCTTTCGTCTATTATGTTTGAACAATTTTATTGTGTGGCTGTTAATTGTTTATGCAAGTTAAGTTGTTTGAATAAACATCAGAAGAGTTACACAACCAGTAAATGGTTCATAATAAATCAACCGTTACCATTAGATAGAGCACAAAGATCGAAGCAAGCGATCTAATGCGCATCGATTAGGCTCATTCAACGTTGATAACAGAACAGTTATGTGCGCGGTAAAAACGGGCCGACGAAATGAAAGCGAACGGCTCGATGGACAGCCCTCGACGGCGATGTCTGGCCGAGGCTTAAAAGGCCCGATGAAGCGTGTCTAAGTTCCTGACATTTCTCCATCGCCTCATAATAGAGAGCGTTTGACACTTGACAGTGCTACACTGCGCACGTTTCGACGTATGTCCCGATACGAATTGACGCGACATTGAAGCGTATTGCGATGCGACAAGGTGCAGTTTCGGTCGGTGGGCTCCTGATGTTAGTCCGTTTTGTCCCGATGACCCATTCAGGTTATGGATAGTTGCAGATCGTGCTGCTCCAAAGGCCTACGAACGTGTACGTGCAAGTATTATGCAATCGCAAACATTTCCTTATGGCGGTCTGTGATGTTTTCTTACATAATTCACCTCTAATAAATGCCATCGTCTACTCTAATGTCGTCTAGATGTTTTCAAATGTGTGTATATAACGTTGAAAAAGTTAGACCTCAATTGAAACGGTTTAAAAGTAACGAGGAAATGATATCCCGTGACAATAATCTGTTCGCCAGACAAATACTTGCCTTGAGTCACCTAAGCGATTAACTCTAACTTGTGCAGATTAATATAGTTTTAATTATTTTTTAAAATAATAATAAATAAATAAATAATAAATTTTTTAATGGAAAGTTAAGCAATATCTCCGATTATCCACACTTTTTAAATTGTTATTTAACATGTACTGTGTAAAATTTTCTCATAGTTAAGTGAGTATCGTAATATTCTTTTTTGAGAAATAAACATTTCTTTGAACCTAAAGTGGCTTAGTTATCTGTGAAATTTGTATGACATCAGAAACGTAACAACTTATATTTTAATATCAATCCATTAAGAATATGAATTTCTAATCGCCTAGAATTTTTTTCCGTTAAAATTTCTATATCATCTCTACCCGACCCGGTATTCCAGCGAACACGTTAAATACAAGGGGTTCAGCACACGAGAAGTTACCAATCAATCATCGCTATCAATTTCTTTCATAGCTTATTTATGTACAGAGGGATGTTTAAGTGAAGGGGATCGCTTTACATAGACCGTTCAGACAGTCAACATCGCTCCCGCTTTATTCGGGCCTATGATGTGTTTGTTTTCTGTCTTTATAAGGTTTCTTACTTAAAGCTGCGATCGATATAATTGTGAGTGCACACTCGGAAGAAGGCAGTGCTCTCTCGGTTGTCACTTATAGAGATTAAAGTTATAGAGATTATAGAGAAAAACCTGCTTTCTAAACTAATGCGGTGACGCGTTTATGTCTGCATCATAATATTCACAGTACTTGTCATAAACAAGACTCTCCACAAAGGTGTAATACAAACTAGATGATTACATTTTTCAACCACAATTCTGCAGACTCGCGTACATTGTAACTTCCTCAAGTGAGTGGCGACCTTTGCTGGTATTAGAGTGCCGATCAAAAGTTTGCCTATCAGTTGATTTTTCAAACTGTTAAGTGTAAGGTGTTCAATACCCTATGAGCATGCATTTTTTATATGTGAGGACGTGGTAAGTGAACTGGTGGTTTACCCGATGTTAAGTGATAACGGCCACCCATGGACATTTGCAACAGCCGTATGGTTGCAGATAGACGTTGCCACCTTTTAATAAAGTTGGCCCCGGCTAACATAACACTTGCGATGATTCTTATTCGAATAGGTAGATCTGTCCGGGGAAGTACCACAAACTCACAGAATCCCGGCGTGAGGTGGAAGTTATATACTTCTGCGTTTTGTCTGGTGAGTGAGGTAGTTGATGCCCACTTAACGCATCCGCAACCCTACAGATGTTGCGAATGTCCATGGGCCGTGGCTACCACTTAACATCAGGTGAACCGCCAGCTCGCTTGCCTCCTTCTAATAGAAAACGTTTATAACATGGAGGAGACCGATGAATAGCCCTAACCATAGGCCGCGAATAGCTCCCGGCTTAAGGAAAATAGACCAAAACTACGTTCAGATCCCGTGAGTCATTGCTAATAACATGTATTGATAAAACCTTTAACGGTGGTAGGGCCACGCAGCAGCCTCGGTTGTTGCACGAATGGGCAGGCCCGTCCGGGTAAGTACCACAACCTCACAGAAGACCAGCGTAAAGTGGAAGTACGACACATACTTTCGCGTTTCGTCTGGTGAGTGAGGTAACTGGAGCCCAATTTTCAAAAGGTTGTCAACGCATCTGTAACCCTCGGGTGTGGCAGATGTCCATGGGCGGCGGTATTCACTTAACATCAGGTGAACCGTTTGCTCGTTTGACAACTTTTCGCATAAAATAAAAAAAAAAATAACCTTTGACGTTTATTAAGAAACATAATATCTGCGGCGTGTGCCATTTTCCCGTAGGTACGTCGGCAACGCCGTTTTTTACTTCGAAAATTGCAGACTCGCAGATGACGGTTTTACGGCGGCTGCACCTGAAATCTGCAGAAATGTCCAGTCTCTTATATTCTATTAGACCGCAGTCACACTTATGTCTACGTTTTTTTTTCTTAAACATCTCACAAGTTCTATTAATATTTCATTGAATTTTTAATGTGTACTCACTCTTCTCTTGAAGATGATTACGTCATATTCCGACAGTGGAGCAGCTAGTTTGCAGATTGTCCTTTGTTGTATAACATTCGTTATTAAACTAAATTGTTATTTTTTATTGAATATGAAATACAAGCACTTCACCTGGGACGTCATCCGCGAAAATTGCGATAGCCCCGACTAATTAGCATGACTCAAACGTAATTTATATACGAAAACCTTCCCCGAAATACGCTGCATCTTATGGTATAAGTATTATTCCGATCGGTTCATTAGTTATCGCAGTATAAACGAACAAAAAACCGGCTGACCATTTATAATTATAGATTTTCTCGATTATTCAATTGCGTGTAAGTAACGAGAATAAACATACTTTTTAACTTCACTAAAATTCAAGTACAATATTTTAATTTCATTCTGCTTGCAGTCATGAATGATTTCGTTGGATTGGTGTAATTGAAAAGTTTTGACTTCCGCCCTTGACAGCTATTGGAGCGGCAACTAATTATTGAATAGATGTTTTTGAATTAAGTTATATATTGTTAAATGAACGACTCTATAAGCAGGCTAATGTTATCATATAGTAAAAGCGACGGAGGATAAAAATACAAACCCTTCATAACAAACTTGATTATTTAAGATCTTCAGCCGATTAATTAATGACGACCCATATTTAATACGTTTATTATATTTAATGTAAATACGAGAAAATAAATTACTTTATGGCTATGTGTTACAGTAAAACTACAGTTAGTCCGCTATATAAGTCGCAACAGCTTTAGCTGTCCACAGATTAACTAAGTTTTGTTTATTTATTACGGAGGTGTTCTTTTACACATAATATGTAAATAATGTATGTTATATATTTATATGTAGGTGAAACAAGCGAATGCAACATCTGATCAAGAAGTTTCGAAGAAATAATATATCATGTATTTACTGTTTCATCTTTTTGCTTTTTGAATGTCCATGCAGCAGTATTCTAAAAGTATGATCATAAATACATTTTAAGAGGTCCACAGCTTTCTTAACATATTCATGGCAAATAAGAAAATGTGTTTTAAGGATTTCCTATTGTTACGACCATAATGGGTCTACGCTTTAACACTAGCAGTGTGCGCGTGCACTTCACTCTTTGTGACGTCATTACCGGTCGCGTCCTGTGCGGCGGAAGCGGATGCGGGCATCCCCCGTCGGCGACGGGTGCCACGCGGCGACAGATACGCGACGGAAGATACGCCGCGAAAGATACGCGGCGGATTGATAGTGAGTGGTGATCGCTGCGACAAATTGACCGCCTCTCACCACCTTCACTACCCCCGGGCGTGACTAGATGGGAAGTCGTAGAAAATCGTTCTGAATTATTGTAGGATTTTATTTTGGACCGGCTTATACGTGCGGCTTCGCCCACGAAAATGTTCCAAATAAAAAAATACAAAAATGTTTGCACGATGAAATATGTCTTTTACTTCCCAACTTTTAGTGACATTCAAGATCTAAATTCCTTTAAAATCCGAAAATGTGGCTTACACACAGACTCTGAAGATCTGTTTCTAATATTACTATGATCTTTATACGGTGATGACGATTGCAAAAAAAAAAGAAATAATACAAAAAACTTACTTAAGAAAAAGAAAAACTTATTAAAAGAAAAAAAACTTAATTAGTTTAGTCAAATTGTGTTATAGAAATGCTTTAGTCTACATTTGATTGGACATTTTGTACCTTATTAAAGATTTTTTATAGAACATATGAAAAAAAAATGTATAGGCTGTTACTTTAATTTACTATATGAAAAATATAAGACTGTGCAAGTATTGAAAGTTATGAAAACGTAAACACATGTTTAAGCAAAATAGACAATGGCTAGGCTCTCAACAAGTCCTAATAAAATTAAGACACGGTTGTTTCAAATGGCCCCATTAATCCTGGGTCCCTCAAGCTTACTGTATCCATGTCGACACTCGAACAAGGTGTAGTTAAGCGATTTAAGCTGTCTCCAAGGGCTCCTTAAGCGCACCAACTATACAGTACTCATCACAGTAATGTTCGCGAATCGTTTCCGAAGCCATACAAGAGCCTACGGCGTAGTTGTCGCGGCCCCTCATGCGCTTACAACTTTCTAATTAAGTTGTGCCAACTGTACTGCTGAGTTAACATTTGGAGACTCTGATTAACAGGCTGCGCTTCGCTCGCTGTTTTATTGTGATGTTTGTTTTCTTGAGCGTATCTTTTGAACGCCCACCGCAACGGGTGATTTGTTAATGCTGAGCGTGGCTAAATCAGGGCTCTCTGCGTTTGAAATTCCCACAAAAACAAAGTGTAAATGTGTACGTTCTGAACTCGGAAATAACGCTTAAAATAAACAATAAATGTTTTACACCGCGTGTGGCTGATAGGCTACTTGTAGACAAGAATTTATGTGACCCTTAAAATGGGTCTATGGCTGTTTTCTTGTCTGTGACACGGCTGTTTTCTAATAGGTAATAATTATAACTATAACTTAATTTGAAGGGAACGGATTTTTCTTTCGAAATATCTAGACACTTCACGCCTTTGTCGCAAGTTATAGTAATGTTTTCTAACTAAAAGAAAAAAAAAACAGCAACCTGTGCCTGGGCGTTTATACGTATGACGTTTGAAAAACATCAAGTAAACTTAAGAATTTCACACTAAGCTAAATTTGTAGCCCGCAGCCGCACCACTCAACGCTGAAACATCTCAGCGGAATGTTTAAGCGTTCGGACCTTGACCCCCGTCGGAAGTGAGCCGGATTCAAGGCCTCTCGAGTCGCGAGAGCGCTGAGACCGGTGACGTCACCGGGGAAATCACTGGCAGCCCCCAGCCAGGCGCCAGTGACGGATATTTATGGGCAGCGACTATCCGGCCACGATTTGCAGGGAAAAGGAGGCCGGGACCGCCTCTCGAATGCCACCGCAGAGGTCCCGCATTGAATGTAACAAGATTGTTATGAAGCAAATGAGATATTTATTTATGTGTTCCTCCGCGTCCTAATCTTATTTTCTGATCTGGAATACGTACAGCCTAATTTTCGAGTAACAGTAGTATGGAAGACGGAGATTTATACCTATAATAACATTTTCACCTACGACCTATACTTAATCTACGTTTTTTTTTTACTTCGATAAATAGTGAAGCAAATTTTGAAAATGCTAGTATAATTTTTTAGATTATTCGATAACTTTTACATACGTAGGCATATAAAAAGTCGTTTCAAAAAAAGCAAAGGATATCTCGTCATTTGTAAAGACAAAAGAGGAGATATCCTTTGTTTTTGTTTATTATTAAAGAATAGAGCCGGCAGACTAAGCACTTGGTAAATAATTTATGATCCTTAAAAGGATAAATGTGTCATTGATAAAAAAAATAAGAAAACGAAATTCTCCTCGGTGCTACAATAATTCTTATAAATCTGAGTGATATTGATGGTGCAAAAAGATAAAGAAGTCCAACATTAAACCGAAACTAATAATGTAATAAATATTAGTCAGATTACATAGTTGCGGCGAATTGCTGTAGATTGCTGGAGCTCACTTTTAATTTAGTATGCTCAAGCTATCACAGCCTAGTATTTGTAAATAAATTATCAAAAACTTTTGGCGTAACGGTATTCAAAGCTACGTGGCTAATCCAAGAAGAATCCTTGAAGAATCCTTCAATTCGCGTAAATATGAGAACTAATCTATCTACCAGCTGCCTTCTTTCATTGAATTTTGAAAAGGTTTGCCCGTCTACAAAAATTCACTATCGAAGTTTCATCTTGAGTGCAGTGACTAAGTAACTATTAGAACTTGGCATCTTTGGCAGATTATTTATGTATTGTGTGATTAAGGACACTATCTGCTCATAACAAAAGCTGCGGCAGATGTACGGTGGACAAGCCTCATGTCCATGCCACTTGCTTCTCTTCTCGGAAATCTTGTCGAATCAAGCTCTGTTATCAACTGATATTAGAGTCAAGTTATAAGACATAGTTTTTACTGATTTATACAACTATAACTCAACAATGACTTAATAATTGGATAACAATAACATTAAGCTTTTCCAACATAGCAACAGCCATAACTTCCAATAACCAAAAACTAACTCCCGTTCGTTGTAAGAGTTGAATTTATATCGCTCAAAAACAAATACCAACCGAATCCATTGTCTGTGGATCACACAACTAACTGTCCCGAGTGGGAATCGGACCCACGGCCCCAGGCGCCGAAGCAAATATCTTGACCACTGTGCCACGGTGTCATCAGAGCTTCCAGTATAAGCTTCCAGTTCTATATTATGTTCATTAGCGACGCGTGTCGATGGGGCTGAAATAAAATTATCAACTGCTGGCTTCCTGGCTTTATGTGGAATGCTTATATTGAAGAATATTTGCGTTTCTTCAAAGTCCTCCTTGTGGCTCCTTGATAAAATAATCAAGTGGCAGTTCGAGAAGAAGACCGATAACTCGTTGAGATTTTGTGCCGAGACTGGAACCAAAAACGGTATTCAGATAACGATGTTTGTCTTCATCGAGACGTAGAGATGTAAAGATTGGTGGCTGCGCGTTTCATGAAATTATTTCCATATTAATTACATCTTACATAATCATAAAATTCTGTTACGGGCTTCACATTCTATCTGTAAAACTCGGTCTGACAGCTTTTATTTTTGATATCATAAGCCTATTATAGAAAAAAATATACGTCGAATACGTTTTTTAAGAGGCAAGCGTCGAACTCCTCGTGTCGTTAAATATTTATAACGATACGCCCAGGAGCTTTTCGTATGACAACAGCCGTATTGATTTTGCGACTTACAGACTTATTGCATAATGCGGGGCGCTGAATATTGTATGACACGCGGAATCTTCGTCGCTTAAAAGAGTTTCCGATAAAAAACTAGCTAAACCTGTTCGAATTTCGCACACTCGGAACTAATATTATAGAAGTTCCTAAGCCCTCTTTCGATGTAGAATAGCACCCAGCTTTCGCGACACCCGTTTCCACGCTCGTAGTTATGACCTGAAATGTTATGAATGAATATGATTATGTTTTAATCACGTATGGATATCAGATGTTGCAGGCATCTTGCTAATTATCGGGACAGTGGATCGACAATAACTTAATTCCTCGAATAAAACGTTAAGAATGAATGGCAAAGATCTTGGTACTTTACAGCGACATTTTGATAATCTTCCGACAGAACCAGATAATTTATGTAACTTTGTTTCGTGGCTTCACTAAAGCATGACATACGTTAGAATAATAAAGATTTTCTATAATCGTATATTAAACACGCCGTTATGAAGGATATTTTTGTTGATATTCCTCAATGTGTTCTCGACAGTAATAGAAAGAACAATCACTTATAGATCTGATCATTATATTATAGATCTGTTCCAATTCATTCACAAATAAGCAGAGGTCCTTCACACGCGGCGAAAAATTAGTATTCCCAACAAGGACCGTGGAGTGTAAAAAAACGAGATTTAAAAATAAACTCGAAAGATTTACGGTGAGTTTTACGCGAAACGAAAACATGGCACTCCAGCGATGCAATCTTTAACGGTTCTCGGAGTTTCCGAGTTAATTCGTCCAAAGAAACCCACAGACGTCCTTACACTCAAGCCGGGGCACTCTAGAGAATCCCGGTCTAAGGGAGGATGGCCGCGAGAAAAAATCCCCAGCATTTCTGTTAGAGGATCTCATTTCAGCGGGAGTGAGCAATCCTCTAATTTTTTTCCAAGAGAAGACGTAGCCTCTGTCGAGCTAAACCTGTACTAGGTTTGCATAAAACGGAATGGCTCTCAAACGCGGTATTTTCTATGTTACGAAAGTTATTTGAAATCGTTTTAATTTGGTGAGAAGTAGGTAATTAAAGGCGGAAGGGAACCGTTTTAATGGAATTAACAAATCGCTTTGCTACTTGCTGTTTCCTCCTCTGTCAAATTTTTAAATGAAATTTTTGAAAAATCACTGGGCAATAGGTAGCAAAACTATTTGTTTAATCTATTAAAAGGTTTACTATGACATTTTCGTTGCTATCTGAACTTTGTTAAAATTGAATTTACTTTAGTAAAAATGTAAACACAATAATCTCCATATCTAAGGTTGAAATATTGTTATATTATTAATATTTATAAGTGGTTAAACCATCTGACCCGTGACCATGAACGCTGGGAAGGGTTCGAGACGTAGTGAATTAAAAATCAAATTAAAATCGGTAAAATCCCTTAAATAATTCATTTAACAATCAAGGTTGAAGTTTTACTCGCAACGTTTTCTGCGCATCCTTATCGCTATTCACTTACAATTACAGCAATGACAAAAGAAAAGCATATTTCTTAAATACGAAAAATGGACATAAAGATTTTTGGAATCGTGCCCAACGCCTAATGTGTCCTATATCAGTTTAAATGTTGGGTATTAAAAAGAAATCCAGTGCGCAATGATCGCCATATCTCATTGTGGTGATGTTTGGTGGAGTTTAAATTATGTCGATGACTAGGGTGGCTCATATCATTTGTAAGTAACACAAAAAACAGTTTAGCTTTGTGTTGCTTTTTTGTTCGGCGTTTCAGCGAAAGAAATATTTTCTTTGTGAAAAATACAATCAAAGATATTATCATTAGGTCATTTAATTTCTCTTCACAACTTACAGAAGTTAAGTCCTGTACTTATTACTATCAATATACGATATATTCCTTCATTGACCGTTTACTATCAAGCGTCATTGTTTTAAATTTATCTCTTTTATAAAGTCTATCGATATACTTAACTTCATAAACAGTTTTGCATGTATGCTTATCGATATCGATATCCTTCTATCGAGGCGACCGCCGTCCCTATTCGAAGTAAGCGAAGACGATGAAGAGGCTCGGATATAATGTAGTGCTTTCAAACATCGAGGCAAAGTTTGCCTACGGAGCGGCAGACAAATGACAACGGGCCGGAGGCGGGGAGCCGGGATATTAGAAGCCTTTAAGATGGGAAAAATAGCAACTTTTACTTGCGACAAGTCTCAGACGTCCAAGTGTTAAGGCGAGGCGATATCATATCTTGCAACAGTGAGTTTTCTTTATGTGAGAAGCTGGCACGCGAGCTGGCGGTTCACCTGATGTTAAATGCACATTTGTAACACCCGTAGGGTTGCAGATGCGTTGCCACCTTTTAATTAACTCGGCCCCGGTGACCTCACTCAACAGTAGAAACGAAGATACACTTCAACTTTATGCCGGTCTTCTTTGAGGTCGTGGTTGCTGCTGCGTGGACCTACCACAGTTAAAATATCAAAAAAAAAAAACACCACAGCTATAAAAATTTCTCGTGCTATTGATGACTCTCAGTTTGTTTCCTACCATAAATTCCGCCACGTCTCATGACTTGAGACAATATCTCCGCTAAGACGGCAGTGATGTTTCACGCGAGATGCCGTGAGAAAGAATCGTCGCCGACATTTGCCGCAAGGACGTTTTAAATCCGCGAGTTGTAAACTTGATGCTAAGTGAAAACGCGATTTGTGGAGACGGATTTTGTTTAAGTTGCACCGATATTATTAAAACGAACGTCTGTTTGCCAGAACGGCTAAAAAGTTTAAAATAAAATTTGAAACTTTCGATTAACTCATAGGCTGATTTGTACGCACGTACTGAACTCATTACATTACTCTGTAGTTGACTTTTTGACGTTTCAAGTAATTATCTTCAATAGGTAAAGGTCTTGTCCAGTTGGAAAGACCATCCCTTATCACAATACAATTATTTTTTCTTGTTACTGCTTATAATCGTATATGTTTATATGTTCTACTTTTTATACGCATTGCGTATAAACAAGCCTCGAAAGTAAACTTTATTGTGTCATTTTAAAACTTTTCCCGTGTACGATTCGAAGCTGGGACATGCGACGCGAAGGATAACGGCTAGACATCTGCGCCATCGATCCATCAATTT